AAATCTAATTCATTACTTTAATAAAGAATACATTTTGGTATTTTTAATCGGTGGTAATTGCAAGCCTGACAACCGAAATACCGTCAATCATATTCGCGACGTTTGAAACGCCGACTGTATCGAAATCCCGACGTTTGAAATCCCGACTATATCAAAATCTCGACAACCATAATCCCGACAAACATAATCCCGGCTATATCAAAATCCCGAGTATATTAAAATCTCGACAACCATAATCCCAACTATATCGAAAATGTCTTCAATAAAATTTTTAAATTATTGCGGAGAGTAATAATCTAATTGTATTTGAGATTATTTCATAATGTTAAGGTTTATTATGAATAATTCAACAAAATCAAATAAATTAATAATAATTTATTGTTATTAATAACAAAAGTGTAACATAAGGTGACTACGCTCCGAAATAATTTAAAAATGTTATTGTAAAAATTTTCGATATAGTCGGGATTTTGATACTGTCGGGATTTTGATATAGTCGGGATTATGGTTGTCGGGATTTCTATAGACGGTCTTTCGGTTGTCGGGCTTGCGATATATACCCATTTTTTAATAATATGACTCTTTAAATTTGCTCTTTATAAATTAAATGTAAATTATTTAAAAATTACATTGAAATTAAACAAATATATAATTTAATCAAATAAAAAATATAAATGTTTTTAACCTAATTTCATTAGTATTAAAAACTACACTTCAATTAAAATGAAAGAAAATTTGGACAATTTGTAAATGTTTAGAAATTGAATCAAACATTTTTTTTAATTTAGTTTATATTTTTTATAAAATTAATTTAATAAATATGAAAATTTGAAATAATAATATTAATTAAATCTTTGTTTACACGTCTAATAAATAAACAACTTTAGAACCAAATGTTAAAATTTTAATTTAATGAATTCTTTAATTAAAATTGACAAAAAATCATTATTTTTGTTATTTATTTTAAACCTTCCAAATGTGTCATATTTCAAATTGTTATACAAGAATCAACGAAAAGATTTTGATTGTAAATTCAATAATTACTACATATTTTTGTTTCAATAGTAATTTTATTTTTAATAAACCAATCACTTACAATTAAATACAATAATATCGATTAATTCATTAAAAAAATGATGTTTATCAATGTTATGAAATTAAGTAAAGAAAATTGGTAAAACTAAATGAAGCATTGTTTCCGATGAAGATGATTTGTATTATTGGAAATATATTAATCAATTAATTTCTTAATAATTTCAAATATGGTCTCAAAATTATTTTGAATTATTTTTCGTAAATATTTTATAATAAATAATTATTTTATATAAAAGCTATAGAGCTTTATTTAAAAATAAGAAATATCAATTCCTTAAAAGAAATTACAGAAATTCCATTTCAGCAGAAATTCCGATTTTTTAACAAGAATTAAAAGATGTAAATTTAGTCTGAAAGCTAACAATATGGTTTAAAAGTTGTCTAATTTTGTTATGTTTGATTGATTCTAACTTCAGATTGTTTAAATAATGCAAGCGCTTTAGATGCGTTTCTGAAGACAGAGCGCTAAACGAAAGGTCATTTTAATATATAGCAAATAGGGAAATAGGGAATTCTAATACATTTGAAAGGTTCCCAGGAAATATCCAGACTGAGATCTGGAGATGACATGCTTACAAGTGGACAGGGCATCGCTAACGAACTAAACAAATACTTCTGCTCGGTTGCAGAAGAGCTCGCAAAAAAATCATAGATAGAACTAGGAATAAAGACACAAACATACCCAATAAACAAGTAAAAACACAACTAAAAATGGACAAAACTACTAAAAAAGAAATAAATGAGATAATAGAGTCATTGAGGAATGGATGTGCGCCGGGCAGTGATGGGATAAATACTTCAACAATTAAATATCTAAAACAGGAAATAACGCACAAATTTGTTGACTTAACAAATCAAATTCTGAGTTCCGGCAACTACCCGGGCGTACTAAAAAAAGCTACAATAACACGAATTTTTAAAAATAACGAAAAAGATAGATCCGAGAACTGCATGCCGATTGCGATAACATCAGTGTTTGCCAAAATAGTGAGAAAAATAATCCACAGAACGATTATATGAATAACAACAACCTGACAGCGCTGATTGAGTCTTACCTTACAAGTAGGGCTCAGCGAGTAAAGATGATGAGCACAGAGAGCTCTGAAATGTGCTGCGTATATGGGGTCCCCCAGGGGGAGTCCTTGCTACTACGCTATACATTATCTATACAAATGACTTAGCCGACATGTACGGACACCGGGAGGAAACGGCGTTGTAGAACAGCATCAACAACGACATAATTAAACTACAGACATGGTACGATGTCAATCTATTAACTATAAACGAGACTAAAACACACTATATGATCCTACATCAAAAACATGCTAGAAATATCCAACTAAACATAACCATAAACAATATCAGCATAAAAAAGTAGAACAAGAGAGATACATGGCAATACTGGTAAACAAAAAACTGGGTTGGAATGCCCATATAAGCTTACAAAAAATAAATGCAACGACAATTGGATGTGTAAAAAAAATAAGAAAATTTCTCACGCATAAGTGCAAGATGGCAATGTACCATGTTGTATGTTTACCTCGAGGATGTGCAATCCTACAACAACAAAAAAATGCTAGAAA